CGCGCGAGCAATTCATTGAACTTGTTATCGAGCTTTGTTTCGAACGTCTTCTCCATGCCATCTATCTTCTCCATGGCCTCCTCAAATCTATTTAGCACATCTTGCACCTGTCCACTCATCATTTGATGAAATTTATCATGCAACTCCTTATTCGTCATGTTCTCCTAGTCAGTCTCGTCAGCTTGTGATCCTGCCATGGTTAGCAGCAATAGAAACACACAAGAATATGATCCTACAGACTACTAACAAGAGGTGGTGGTGGGTGTCACAAATCCGTCAAGCAAATCTCAAATTCTTACCAGTTCTTACCCATCAGCAGGCAGTGATCGACAACCGTCGCAGTCAAAACTCTCAAAGCTTGGATAGAGCGATTACTAGGGAGAGTCAAACGCACGACGTAGATGTATGTGGAGCTGGGAAGGCTTATAATATGGCAGCAAAAAGGGTCAGCAATAATCAATTCAGAGATGCAAAGTTGACTAAACGCTCAAGGATGGTACTGTGCTGGTCCTAGGCTAGACCGTGCTAGAGACGCAAGCCTAGAACACTAACAAAAGAACGACGCTGCACGGAAACAAGGGAGGAGCACACTTTGATTTTTTTTCCTCTTTTTTTGCTCCGCAACAATTTTTTTTCGAAAAAGACTACAAATGGTTTAAAAACTGCCTAGCCAGAATTTTCCAGCAGTTTGTGCTTTCACATTAAAAAGGCAACAAATACTGGACTCGGACTAGGACTGATGACGGAGATGAATCTGGTGGAACTCAGACTGGTGGCGAATATATGTAGGGCGGTGGAACACGGACTGGTGGCGTATCTGTGATGGAGGTGGACTCAGATTATCGTGATGCGGTGGATATGTGGTATATGGTAGCAGCGATGACGATGGTGGTATATGGCAGCGGTGATGACGATGGTGGTATATGGCAGCAGTGACGATGATGGTGGTATATGGCAGCGGTGATGATGATGATGATGATGCGGCGGCGGCGTGACTACTTGTGAACAGAACTCGAAACTCTAAAGGACTAGACACTAAGACCAGCAACTAGACACGACGATGCAACTACAAACTCAACAATGCAAAGCCCTAAAAAGATTATGCAAAGGCTTAGATTGGTTCGGATATGATGAACTACCCGTAATTTTTTTTCTGCCTTTTTCGTGGACTGTAGGTATGAAGAACAGACTAGATCTAAACTATGAAAAACTGTAAAATCTCACCGAGCAACCTGAAAATCTGATACCACTTGATAGAGGCGAAGGTGTCCCGATGTTTCGATGAGATAGATATCGTTTTCTGTGGGAGTCAACTTTGACGATCCGACTACGATCGTGCGAAGACGCCGCGCCTTAGCAATTGCTAAACCAACTTCCAAGGGTTATTGACCACACCGGAGCATGATCAACCTGACCACGAGGGTCTGTTTCCTGCGAGCAAACGAAGAACAAGTAAGAAACTGAGATTGCAATCTGGATATTGCGAATAAAGAGGAAAGCTTTATTAATGAAGGTGGGGTTCTGTGACGTCTTGGTCTGGTCGTTGGACACAAACAAAGTACGCGAAGTTGTAGCTATGGCGAACTTTTAATCTAAACAAAACCCCCTAAAGTCTAAACGATGCCCTAAGGGCTGTATATATGGAGGAGAGAGGGGGGAATTTTGTGGCCCTTGGAGGAGGGGTCCGAAACCAACCCTAACTCTTGTTTCCCCACACATATGGACTTTAAAAATAGCCTATAATCAAGTATTTCAAAATTACATGGGCCTCGCCCAAAAATAAGGTGACGCAACACCTAGAATAGCCTCTGGACGAAATTTATGAAGTGGCATCTTGTATATTTCGTCCAAGGCTTCATGCACTCATTATGGTGGCTTCAAATTCCTGGAATCATCAGTTGTAACTCCGTTCTTGTTCCCCTTGCGCATGCCATCATCTCCATGCTTGAACTTGCTCGAAGGTTCATCTTTCTTGTCCAAGCTAGGCCCTTCATTTGTAAGCAAAACAAATGTATCCAATTTAGGCAGCATCATATTCTCATGAACATTAGAATCGTTACCAAGAAACGAAAGTACCTGATAATTCAATTGGCGTGCGCGAGCTCTAGTAATTGGTCCAGTATGTATAGCAGCAGGGGCTGTGGGTGTAACAATGGTATTGATGTCCTCATCAGGGTGTCGGGGTGTCGTGGGTGTCGGGGTGCCGTGTCGGGGTCGGGGTGTCGTTTTCTTCTTCTTCTTCTTTCCTTCTCCTCCTCCCCCTCCGCTTCTTCTTCTTCTTCTTCTTCTTCTTCCCCCTTCTACTTATTCTACTTTTCTTCTTATTCTTTCATCTTTTTTTACTTCCTTTAATTATGACTATTTAACTAAAACCTAGCACTAATCTAACCTTATCTAATCTAATCTAGCACTAAACCTACAACTAACATATCTAATCTAACAATTAAACAACAAAAAACAGAAAAAATGGCTCAGCAGAGAGGGCGTCGGGCGGGGCTTCGGAGCGGCAGGGCGGCAGTGGCG